GATTATGGAAGAAATTAGATGAATAAATTACTGGTTGCACTGTGAATAATTTGACCAAAATGTCGTCTTGGGTTTATAACTTAGAGTCAAGGCTCTCACTTCGAACAGTTGTCAAACAAAAAGAACGTCGGGGGACTCGAAAAAAATAAATATAATATTTAGGATACGAACGTATTATTATATAAAATCACGTGAATCCGATTTGTACAGTATATTATTCAAGAATAATTAAGCTGCCATGCTGGCAAGGCATATGATCTAAAATGAATAATACTGTAATCTGATTGGTGGGCGCGTGACAGGCATTACATGTTTTTTTGGAACTTTAAGAAAGGATATTTGGGAAAAGAAAAAGTGTTGAAATTGGATCAAGAGACCAATATTATTATAATTCTTAGCCAAGAAAAAAGAAAAGAAAAAAGAGAGAGATCAATATATTATAATTCTCAAACTCGTCACGCATTAACTTTCTGATTTAAGTGTTTAATATATAAACAGTCTCAAACAAGTCCTAAAATTAGAAACATTGATTAATTTTTTTGTGACTGTATATTTTATGCATGAGTTCTGGCTTTCACATTAATTTTTGGATGTTTTCATCCTCTCTTTTGTGTAATCTTATGGTGTTATCATAAAGCATCTTTACCCAAAAAAAAAGTATAATCAGGATTAATTTGCAATATTAATGTAAATGATATACCAAATAATAGGAGGAGTATTCGGACGACCAAGGTCCAAGACTAAAGTGTACTCCGCCGCTGAAGAATTAGGCAGGCACACTCGTCCGTACGCCGTCAATAATAATGCAACAATAATTTATTTTTTATGAATTAATCAGTCAAAATGAGTAAGACATGATATAAAACCAATTGGCGGCATCGGAGTGTAGTTTGGGTTTGCCACTTGCATCCCATGTGTTAAGAAATATGTCCAAATTAACGGCTTCTAGTTATTAAGTTGCCTAGTGTAAAATCCCGCGCAACAACATACAAGTTTGACTCAAGATAAGTGAGCTTCACCATGGCTAGAAAACGTTTTTGGTCCACATAGCTATTAACTTTTGTTAATTTATTGTACGGAATCCGTCAATTTTAGTCCTTTATGTGTTGTTCGCGTGTTATTTTTTCTATAAAAAAAAGGGTTAACGACAAAAGGCACCATGCTGATTTAGGTGGTTCTCAATATGGACCCCAGGGTATTAATTTTATCAATTTACACCCTTACGTTTGCAACATCGTCCAATTTCATCATTCCGTTAAGTTGACCGTGTGGTCAATCGTTAAATACTGACGTGTCTACTGTGGGACCCACCTACTAACCAACCAGTTCCTAATAAAATGATAAAATAACCTTTTCTTTTCTTTTTCTTTTTTATTAAAAAAAAAGCTTTAAAAAAAACCAACCCCTTCCCTGCCCAACAAACCCAGTGCCCCTGTTCACCCATTCTCTCCCCGCACCAACCCCAGCCCCCAACCCTATTTCTGTCCGGAGATGATCTTCCTCACGCTGTCAAGATCAAAGCCTTTCAGCATTGTAGGTGAATGACAACACCAGGAGGTCGTCGACTGTCACATGCTCCAATATCGTTGAGATACGCTTCTCCAGCTTGGTCTTGCTCGCGCTCGAGGTGTTGACGAAGGTTGCAGATCTAAAAAGGCAGCAAAGGAAGTTTATCGACAACACCGATTTCTCGACTGCCTTTCTGGGTTTTCCCAATCGTGGGTCCGAGCCTTCGATGGTGTCAGCAGTGTCGCAACAAGACACCGGGAAGGATCTCAACCAAACTTGGCTGCGACCTCCATTATTTCCAGCGCTTTGCAGGAGTCATAACATCTAGCTCCAACATCCACATAAGTCACGAGCTTGCAGCAATTGAACAAATCAATAAACGAATGGAAGCTGTAGGTGTCTTTCATGTCGATGTGGACCACCGCAATCCCTTTGGGCCTCAGCGTCCGTACGATCTCGACAGCAATCTGTCAGCTTAGTCAACTTCTCGAGTTTGCCGTTGCTGGAGAAGGCCTGGCTTGCCTGAGGTTGGCTCCATCTCTATCAAATATGCATCTTTTTCACATAAACAAAAAGAATATAGGGTTTAGGGAATTCTGGGGTTTTTCTCACAATCAATCAAACAATGAATTCAATTTTTGAAAATTGAATAATCGTATTATTGGAAGAGGGGGAAGGTTTAGGGATTGGTTTAGTGAGAGCAAGATCAAGTGGAGGTGTGGTTGGCTGGCAGGTGCTTTTAAAAGAGAGTTACATATCTTAAAACTATAGTGCGGGGAAGGAGGATGGTCAAAGCCAGAAGCCATGGTTGGTTTTTCGATTTTTTATTTTTAAAATTATGTTATTTTATCATTTTATATAATTTTTTAAGAAATTGGTTGGTTAGTAGGTGAGTCTTACAGTAGACACGTCAGCATTTAACGATTGACTACATGGTCAACTTAACGGAAGGATGAAATTAGACGATATTACAAACGTAAGGGTGTAAATTGATAAAATTAATACCCTGGGGTTCATTTGAGAACCAACCCAAATCAGCAGAGTGTCTTTTGTCATTAGCCCTAAAAAAATTTAATGAAAATTGACAAATGTTGTATTCTATTATGACAAGACTTTGTAACTCGATTGGTTAAAAGTACTTATTATAGCATATGAAGGGGTTCTTCCCCCTCTCAAATATCTTTTGTATATTAAAAGAAGAAATCATATTCTATCCAATATAATTTAAAAAAAAATTGTATTATTCTTAAAATTTACTAATGCCACGTCGTCATGCTGTGCAAAATGAGTTTTTGAGCCCAATGCAAAAAGGGCCCAACGGGCCTGTTGGCAAATCTATTAAGGTAGAAACTCGACTGAGAAGCAGAAAATTAAAATTAAAAGGCGGGCGTAGCGGCATTAGCGGGAACTGATTTGCGGAAGGCGAAAGAAACGAACCAAACCAAAAAGGCGAGACGCGGTACAGCAAGCAACAGCAAAAATGGAATTTGAGTGCTCTACTCTGAGTCTCTGGAGAGAGGCCCTATCATCTTACTCGTCTCGCATCCAATCACTCAACAAACCCAATTTGGTTTCTCTCGACGACTTTTACCGCACCAAGCTCCCTTCTCTCCTCCACCAACGAAACCCTAGCCCCTTCATCACCACCTCCGAGCTCTCTGACCTCATGCGCTGGAAGCTCACACGTGGCAAATGGCGGTACCTCTCTCTCTCTCTCTCTCTCTCTCTTCTTCAACGTTTTTGTGCGTCTATATATCAATTTTGCTGTTAGAATGAGGAGTGTGCTAAACTTGTATGTAAAATTGTGGATTTGAGGCCGAGGCTGTTGGATTTCGTATCGGCTTTGGACGAGGCCGTGGTGAAATCGGCCTCCCAAAAGGCGTTTCAGGCACTTCCTGATATCTCAAAGGCTATCTCTGAGCTCACGGTGCTCAAAGGGGTGGGTCCCGCCACCGCCTCTGCCGTTCTGGCAGCTTACGCTCCTGACGTGGCGCCCTTCATGTCCGACGAGGTGAATTAGCTTAGGGTTTTGAGTGTAAATTTTGGGTTTATTGTTTCTCATTTGAGTAATGTCTTTCTGGTTGATTTTCAAATTTAATTTGTGTTTGTTTGGTAACAGGCTATGGTTGCAGCTCTTGGCAACTCCAAAGACTATACACTCAAGCAATACCTGTTATTCGCAAATAAGTTACAGGAGAAAGCAAAGGTCAGTCAATTTCCTCAGCATTGTTGTAACTCGGAAAATTACTTGATGACTGCAATGCAAGCATATAACACATGCACATTATACAAATTTAGTGCCAATTAATATAGTGTAATACTGTATGTGGAACAAAAATCGTAGGGTGAGTGCGGTTGTATCATATGATGGGTAGATGCGCAACCTCCCTCTCGCATCTATCCATCATATGATGTCCATGCGATTTGATGATTATGAGAGGGCACGCATACGCCCTGCCCGATTAAACTTTCTCAGGGCTGATTTTCATCCTCATGAGCATGAAAGCTGCTATCATTGTAATTCCAGCCCTTTTTTTTATGGTGATTGAGTGTAGCATGTCCATTTTTCCATACTAAATTAAATTATCATATTAAGTGTGACAAATCTGTAAGTTGTGATAATTTTAGTTTGGCATGGTGTTAACAAGAATATTATCTAAACTAATGTCACATTATTTACTTTTCCATGGATTTTGCTGCCACTTTTAACTATCTGCTGGTGGAATGTATGCAGGAACTGACTGCCGAAGGGGAGAGCTTCACACCATCAGATGTAGAGAGGGCTTTGTGGAGTGGTGCTGTAGGGGCCAAGCTGCCATCTTCGCAATCAGATCCAGACCTCAAAACTGATAAAAGTAAAAATCCCAACAAGAGAAAGCGAAAGCGCTGATGTAGTGCTCTGCCATTTAACTGGCTTTGGCAATGCTTGTAAGTTCTACTAACTTCAAAACTACATTAAAATGCTGTACAAGCAAGTATTTTATCAACTCTCATGAACAAAGCTTGTGCTTTGCATATGTTGTAACCTATCTCTCTGTAGCGTGTGCTTTGCATTTTGCAAACTATGAATCATTGACCCATATGAGTAAATATTGTCTGAATTTATTTTATTTTATCAGTTTCTGGGATCAAAAAACCCAATTCAACGTAAACTAGAAGCCCATTTGAACTTTGGCCCTACCATTAGCAGTTACTGGTAACATATGGTTTAAATGAAATTATAGAGACTTTGTTGGTTTTGGTCTATGCTTGGTCAAAAAACTCTGCAATACGTTAAATTGGTCACCCCATCTCAAAGAAACGCGTTGAATAAAATTTGAAACACCCAATTGGAATGAAATCCATAAAAAAGCCAATTATCTTTTATGGTCTCTCCTATTTATTGGGCCATCCAAATGCTTTGCCAAATCGCAAGGAGTTTCCCAAGCTCTCCTTTTGTCGTTTGCTTAAACATAACGGCCATCCAATTCCAAGCTGTAATAAAATCTGCAAACGTGTCAACGCGCTATTCGTTTCCAGGTCGGTTCCTGTGTGGGCAACAAATCAGATAAAAATCCCCCTCCCCAAACTCCCTTAACGGCTTCAGACCCAAAAAAAACTCCCTCAACGGCCAACCCAACAACCCCCATAATCTACCAAAATGACAATTGTCTCGTCGGACAGGAAGTACCGGCGCAGCCCCAAAATTCCGCTCCTTCCCCAGAAGCACGACGACCATGACTCCGCCGAGGTCGGTTTCAACGGCGCGTCGTTTTCCGGAGCCGTCTTCAACATGTCGACGACAATCGTTGGAGCCGGGATTATGGCTCTGCCGGCGGCGGTTAAGCAGTTGGGCCTGATTCCGGGCCTAATTATGATCGTTTTGGGGGCTATGTTGACCGAGTCGTCCATCGACATGATCATGCGGTTCACGCGAGCTTCCAAGACAGCCTCGTATTCGGGTCTGGTCGGCGACGCTTTCGGTGGGCCCGGACGGACCCTCCTCCAGCTCTGCGTCGTCGTCAACAACTTGGGCATGCTCGTCGTCTACATGATCATCATCGGTATAGTTTCTGCTCAACAATACTTTTTATTTTTAATTTCTGAAGTTTATTTATTTTTTTGGTATAGGGTTTTTGGTCAACGAGGTTCAGACTTTGGGAGTTTAGCTGCTAAGCGACGTCGTATGTGCCCCAGCTTATATTTTGGGAAGGGGCTAATTTTGGAATTTTGGTGTTTCAGGGGATGTGCTGTCGGGGACTTGGTCGGAAGGAGTACGCCATTCGGGTGTAATAGAGGAATGGTTTGGTCAACGTTGGTGGACCGCACGATTCTCGTTGCTTCTTCTCACCACGCTCCTTGTTTTGGCTCCTCTTATTTCTTTCAAGCGCGTGGGTACGTTCTCTACTTCTCTCTCTCTGTTTTTTTTTTCTTGTTAATAATTACATATTTTGACAAATTGTAGTCGCAAAAAAACTAGTTGCATTATATAATGTAGCCCAAGTTAGTAAATTGCTAGCAATTTTCTGGTCCTGCTTGTATTGTCATATAAGCAGCTACAGTTCTGGCAATGAGCTTGCATTAGTTGTTCTGCTTGAACTATTTTAAGACTCTGAACTTCCTCGAGTTATTTACGAATGAATGGAGGCAAAGCGTTATCATGTATAATTAGGAAGAAGTGTTCATATGTTCCTAAGAGATGATATCCGATCAAATACCATGTAAATAGAGTTTCAGCTGTTGACTGGCATAACAATTATTGATTCAGTGACTGATTTCTGTACATATATATTATATCTTTTTGTGCTAGATTCGTTGAGATACACATCAGCATTGTCCGTTGCTTTGGCTGTTGTTTTCGTGGCAATAACAGCGGGAGTAGCGATCTTTAAGTTGATGGATGGAAGCGTTGCATTTCCACGTTTGATGCCCAAACTCGTTGACCAGGCATCATTTTGGAAGCTTTTCACTACCATTCCCATTCTAGTCACTGCCTATATCTGCCACCACAACAGTAAGTACTCCATATGCAAATAAGCCTGCTAGATTTCTTTTGTTTTTATAATAGAATTATTGTTAAGGAAATAATGCTTTGCAGTAATTTGAAGATGATATTAGTCCATTAAATTTGGTAATGAATACTAAGGGAGTGGTTAACAATGGTCATGTTACTTTATATTTTGCCCGTAAGATACAAACGACCACCATAATAGTAGGCACTGATGTACTACCTCACGGCAAACTACTTAGTTAGTGACTACAGTTCAAGCTTATCAAGTGACTCAGTGGATACACTTTGGTTCTAATTTCTACAACCATGGTGCATATTGTAATCTTAAATGGCATTTGATTGCTTAATACAAGGATGTGTATTCTATTAGCTGACTACTTTTCTAATGCACTTGCAGTTCACCCAATAGAGAATGAACTAATAGACCCTACCCAGATGAAGTCAATAGTGCGGACCTCACTTGCATTTTGCTCATCTGTTTACATTGCAACCAGCTTCTTTAGTTTCCTTCTCTTTGGGGATCACACGCTGGATGATGTGCTGGCAAATTTCGATGCTGATCTTGGAATTCCATATAGCTCATTTCTTGATGATATTGTTAGGGTTAGCTATGGCGTCCACCTGATGCTTGTTTTCCCCATTGTATTTTTCTCCCTTCGCCTCAATTTAGATGGTCTTCTCTTCCCCTTTGCCATTCCTATTGCATTTGACAATCGAAGATTCTACACAGTAACTGCAGCTCTCATGGGTTTTATTTTTCTTGGAGCCAATTTTGTGCCTAGCATCTGGGATGCCTTTCAGTTCACAGGTGCTACAGCTGCCATCTCCGTTGGTTTCATATTTCCTGCTGCCGTTGCGCTTAGGTAAGCGACGTTGACTATGATGAACTTGTTATAACAACATTGATAGAATTGCACGTCAGCTCACACACTTGAACAGAAGGACAAGCTAAAAATAAAAGGTTGCATTTAGCACTTGATGTTTTAATTGAGTGAGAAGAAACCTTCTCTGCTTTGACCTAAAAGCCATGCCTTCCTCCTCTGTCCTGTTATGCAGGGACACTCATGGAATTGCGACAAAGAAGGACAAACTAGTGTCATGGGTGATGATCTTTTTAGCAGTCTCCTCAAGCACAGCGGCCATCTCCAGTGACATTTACAGCATTGTCAGTCGTGATAAACTCGCTGGAAGCTGACATACGAGAACAGCAAGATTTTCCATTCGTTTCATTTAGAATTAGATTAGATTAGATTCCTACTTTTTTCCATACTTCTTTATACACACCTTTCTTTAACTTTTTTTTTTTTTTTTGTTGGAATAATAAAAGCCTACTAATCATTGAACATTAAGAAAATAAAGCGATTGCCTTATCATGTTGTTATGTGGAAAGAGTAATTAGCTTAACCAGGGAGGTGTAAATAATGATTCTTAGTGGTCCCCACCAAACACCAAAGCTGTTTCGCATTGCGTTGTTGTGGCATTATTCGACTCAAAGCTTTTCATCGGTTGGGATTGGATGATCATCTGTGCTTGCTTTTTTAACCTAGTTTACTGGGTCGTTTTCAATTTTTCTCAATTGTGACAATAGCATCCGAAACACACATGGCCTGCCCTTTTCCCTTTCTCTCCACCTGGCAGAACAGCTGTTCCACTTGATCTCAATTCACCAAGACATGAAGATTGATCAGTTTGGTCACATTTTTCACAACCTCAGAAGCTCTTATATTGTTTTCGTTCACTCTCATGGTTTCATGGTTTCTCTGCGCCAATAATATAAAATATACAGAAAAGCATAAATTATATGTTGCCCACAGAAAATTATCTTTGGGATTGTTTATTTATCAATCTGACGTCTTGGTTGTTGTGGAAATCATACAAGTCGATTTGCCTTTTGGTCGTCTTCAACAACTAAAATATATAGCCGGGCCTTGTGTTTGTCTCCTCCTTGATTTATCCACGTGTATGATGTTATTGCTATTACTAGTTTGTCTCCTCGATTAGAAAAATACTTTCCCATCATGTTATATAGCTGGGCCAGTGTCAATTTTACAAAGGCTGATGTTTGGTTTTTCTCTTTCCAACTTGCGTTTAAAAGGGCGGGTACACTGTCCTAACTTACATTCATTTAAAAGGGCGGATACACTGTCCTAACTTACATTTGCCTAACATTATTTAGAGGTTTATAATTGTGGACATTATTTGAACAAGAGACAAAACCATACTATTTTTGCCAGTTGCATTGCATCTTAACTCGGATAAAAGTAAAAACCAATATATTTGATGGAAGATTCCATGACAGATCGTTCTACACGATAGAAAACGATGTTTGAAAGATTCAAAATTAGACAGAGTCATCCTGAGCCAGTAGGAAGGAGCTTTAGCAGAATGAGACAAACAAAAGTTTGGAGCATTTGGGAGCGGCTGGAATTTGGCCATGCCATGCCTATATTCACACCTGTTTTTGAATCTTCTGTTTATATTTGATTGAGATGTTCACGGCGCTCTCTTTTTTCAAATTTACACAAACATTGCGTATAAGTATTAAGTAAGAAGGTGTTTGGCCCGTGGTCCGTACTGAAACTGTTGTTTGCATTACTAAAAAATAAACAAAATTACTGTATACATCGGATGTTAACAAAAGTTACAAAACATAAATTGTAATTACGGTTTTGTTTATTTTTGAACTAATAAAATATAAGGGAGATTCACTATTATACCCAATATAGAAGCCCAAATTATAAATTAAAAATAGGGAGTTTCACTAAAACACCCAAAATGGGAGTTGAAATTATAAAAAAACCCAAGCACTATTTAAACATATAAACACACCCAAAACCCATCATTACACACACTCAAAACCCATTTATAAACACACCCAAAAAGTTGACTTTGGGGTTAATTTTGGGTGTGTTTCTATGTTTAAATAGTGCTTGGGTTTTTTTATAAATACATGTCTAGGATTGGGTTTATTTATAAATTTGTATTAAAAAAAACCTTATATAAAATGGACTTTAGAAACATATCCAAAGCCAATTTACAACATAACAAAAAGACTTTTAACTTCTTTTAAATTACAAAACAGCCATTGATTTCTTAAAACAAATCCAATCCCAAAACCTCATAAAAATGCCCAAAACACTCAATAGGCCGAGTTGAAGCTAATGGAACACCCTCTCCCAATTATAGCTAAATGCATATGGCAGTTAACTAGGTTGGATTGGATCCTTGGCCTTAACAAAACCTCCCATCTTACTAGACAGAATGAAATCTCGAGCATTTGACTTGTTTGCTATCTCATCCTTTTTTGTGGTGAAAGCATAAAGGATTGTTGAGAAATGGCATCTTATCATCGCACTAATGATGTGCCAATAATAGAAGAAGTGCAAAAAAAAAGTAGAAAATTGTGACTTGGATTATAATAGCAATGAATTTGTTTGAGAGGAATTTTATACATATCATTATAGTCGAGGTCGACAATGAACTTGAACTGTTTGGACATCCTCAAAAGTCATGAGTCACAATATTAAAAAGAAACAACTCAGAGGGAATTACAAGACATGGACAGCATTACATCCAAACACGAAAACAAATCAGCACGTTTGCAACGCATAATTGGATGATTTCAACCAATCAGACAACGACATGTCAATTCCACGTTTGCAGAAAACGCATAATTGAATTTGAATATACAAAACAATTTGACGAAACAGTCCAAAAGATATTTCTCGCAGTCGTAAGCTTTTAAAAGTTGATTTTGCTAAAACAAATGGGTTTTTTTATATTATAATACTTGATTAATGATTGATTTATATAATAAAGCGCAGTGTTGGTTCGTGGTGACACATCACATATATGATATCAAAACACAGAGATACAAGTTACATATCATATCATTGTGATATAACTAATGTTACTAATACAATTAATTATCAATTAACTAGAATATTAGTACTTGACTAGGAGCTATACTACTTTGAATTTGCTTCAAACCTGCCACTTGGACACTCATTATGATCCCTAACGCATTTAATTATGGATTAAATGCAGTGCTCTTTGATCGCACCTATCACCTAATCTTTGATTAGATTTAGATTTAAAGAAAGAAAATGCCACATGGACCTACATGTCCTCCGACTTTTATAACTTTCTACTTTGTTTAATTCGTTGCTGAATTAAAACTTGTATTACTTTTTTTCTTCTTCAAAATTTTAAAAAGAAAACAAAGAGGAAGAAATCAAAATCGAAAGCAATCACAGTGGAGCTGTCATCCACAATTAAAAGTTGAATAATCATTGCTATTCCAAAGCCAATTTCGCCCTTTAAATATCATTAGTTATATAATACAATACTAATTCAGTCATTAGTGTCCTAATGCATGATATATATTTCTGTGAAATTTTATAACCAAACCGTGCGACCTAACATTATTGTTTTTCAAGAAACATGTTATGATTTAAATCGTAAAAGTGAAATAAAATGCGTACGTGCAAAAGATTTATAGTTTAGATAATGCATGTACTTTAAATTCTATGTGAGTACCACTGGTATTAAAAAATAACACAAAAGAAATACAATGCTTATTCCGTAATGAGACTGTAAATAATTTGGTTGGTGTAATAAGTTATGAATGTCCCTCACGTAATATTACGTGCATCTCGTTTCATTGCATGGGTTTAAAATTTTCATCTATAAAAAAATAAAAACGATGGAACGTTTTTCTGATATGAAGTGGGTGGGATGACGTGGCAAGTAGCCGGGAATTACGCACAGAGAGCTGTGGGCAGGCCAGTCACTGTCGGCTCTGGTGGGCACCCAGTTATGACCGAGGACCACCGCCATTCCACGTGTCTCCTCTTCCGGCCATCGTGGCACACACTTTATGAAAACCTGGTTGTCACGTGCGGTTTGTGATCCTAACTCATCGATCTCATGTGTCAAGATCGACGGTCCATGTTATACCTCCCAAGAATCGACGGACCATTTGTTTTACAGTTTTTACTCCTCGTCCTTGTCTCAATATTACTAGGCTACTAGGAAAAGGGTCTATATTCTTGTCAGTGGAACAAAAAGACAGTTTTAACCCTTATCCTCTATGTATGCACTCTGTCCCATTCATCTCCTGCCAGACATTTTTTCAAATTTTTTTTTTATGGAGGAGTTTTTGAATTTTGAAAAATGGCTCGCTGCTCTCACTTTACTGACATGCCTACGCCGCGAGATTTGTTAGTGTGCGGCGCGTCAGCATAGGAGCACCACCGTAACAGCCTGGTGCTCATAATATTTACCCGTAATTATCCCCCGTTCATAAACTGAAAGTTGTCGGTGGGTAGCGAGGAGGCGAGGGTAATTTAGACAATTTGTATTATCTTATGTTGTCCTATCGATTATAATTTCTTATGGCGCGCCAGACACTAGTGAACTCGCAAGCAGAGGGCGCGTCGTAAATCATGTTCATAGAATAATTTTGCATTAGTTGGATTAATCAACATATTAAACCTCTCGATTTTCCCTTGTTTAGTATTTTTTTTTTGTGGACAAACGATTAGATAATAGAAGATACTTTTACAATTGGCTAATACACCAACAACAAGACTAAACTACCACTATTAAGGTATCGAACTCATCACAAATATATATCGTTTTCGTCATTCATGTAAGTTATCCTTCAATCAAATGAAGACAAATATTACTAAATCAAAGGCTAATTGATGTTTTGTGAAGTTTCTTTAATAGACTTTGGAATCAAGACGAAAATAATGAATCAACTTCAAATAACAAAATAAATATTTATAGATTATGATCAAGTGAACTTAGTTGATCATTATAATAAAGTTAACATAACTTCGTTTAATTACATAAAATCAAATGGCCATGCGCTCTTTTGCATGACAAAATCTTGAAACTCGCTACTGAAAAATAAATGTCATATCAATTTTGGTATATAATGTTGACCACATTCCAAAAATACTCATTAACAACCGGCTAAATATGATGATTTATTTATTAAGATAGGCGAGTCGTTGAAGTATTTATCTTTGTAAACCATGATTCATAATAAATTATTTTGAATTCTCACTAATTATCTAGCGGTGCCTCCACTTTACGATTTTGAAATTTATGCTATTTTTATGAACAAACCAAAATACAATCTAGTCGATAGTGTGATGCACGCTCTTGTCGTCACGTGGATGATGTCCAAAAGCACTGTCCCTAACTAAACCAGCTCATTTGAAGCTTGGAATTAGCGAGACTGGTCTGGAGGGACGTGGTCATTCCCTCCTCTTCGTCCAACAAAATTCTAACAACATCCATTACTCAGTAAATAAAACTAAAAAATAATTATTAAGAAACTGAAAACAAAACCAAAATGAAAACCTTGTTATTTTTTTCACTTTTGTCGCATCAAAGACGCACTTGGTGGTGGCGGTGGTTAGATGGTCACCCTGTCTTTCTCGTTGAACTTTCGTCTGTTTATTTTTATTGTTACTATTCACTTATTATAATTTCCAATTTCCATTTTCTAAGACTTGAAAAAGTAAAAAGAGAAATGGTAAAAGACGTTTGGGTTTTTTCATTCACACGAGAAGCAGCGACCCAGATGGAATTGGAAGCACGAGCGAGGCATCTGATATCCCTCTTCCACGCGGGAAAATCTCTGTAAATTCTCATATACCCTTTTGTGAATTGCAGATTGTAACCCCACAGAAAAAAGAAAAATAAAAAGATGGGTCTTTTCTTTTTGGTTGTGAGAAGGAAAAGTCTAGGGCTAGGGCTTACGTTGTTGGTTGTTGCGGATTTTATCATCGTTTGAAAAGAGTAGGTGAAGAAGGAAAAACCCCAATAAAAACGTTAAAAAAAAAAAAAGTAAAGGCACAAACTTTGTCTGTCATTGTCGGAAATCTGCACATTTTCTTCCTTCCCTTTTCTGAATTTGTATTTGGGTTCTGTTTGTGAAACCCAAATTAGCTATTAATCCATGATTGTTGTGATGTTCTTTCTTTCCAAATCAGCTGGGGGTTAACGTTCTGTGGTTTGGTGAATTTATAAAGAAAATCTGGCGGTGTTATGGTGAAAAAATATCAGTTTCAAAAAGGGTTTGTGATTTTGACTCGAGAACGTGGGTTCGTATGAATATTTTGATTTAGTTTTTGTCAAGTTTTTCTCTCTCTCTCCTCCCCTCTTTGATTTAATTATTTATTCCGAATCAAAATCAAAGACGTGTTGAGCTGTTACCATCTCTCTCTCTTTCTTCTCTTTCTCGTTGCTCTTCTTATTGCTTCCGAGGCCTCTTTTGCAAGCTGTAATTGAATGGTAGCACATTTGGCCTCAAGCCCCACACACAGTCATATCCTTTGTTTCTCTCTCTCTCTCTCTCTCTCTCTCTCTGTGGAAATCACTTGTCTTATAACTTGTCACCGAATGTCACAATGATTTAGAGACGCCTTGCTCTGCTTTATCAACCACGCGTCCATCTTCATCCCTCTCACTCTCTCTCTCTGACAATGAGATCAAAGCTCTAGCCTTTTTCTGCCTGCTGGGTCTCTTCATATTCAAGCGGTCGAAAGGGGTTTTGGCTCTGCCGAGCAGAAAATAGAGAAAAAACGTTCCATTTCTCAGCTGGGTTCTTGAGATCAGACCCCAGAAACCGGAAATGGCACCCTCCTTCAGCTGGTGGTCTAACAAAGACACCCACCGAGGCACACCCGTGGTGGTCAAGATGGAGAACCCAAACTGGTCCATGGTTGAGCTCGAAGGTCCTTCTGAGGAGGACTTCCTCATCTCTGAGTCACAGGGTCGAGTTCGAGGCAAAAACGCCAAGCAGTTCACTTGGGTCCTCCTCCTCAAAGCTCACAGAGCCGCCGGTTGCTTAACCTCTCTCGGCTCCGCAATGTTGGGCCTTGCCTCCGCAATACGACGCCGTGTGGCCTCGGGTCGGACGGACACCGACACCGACGTCGAGCCCATCGGCCGCGGCAGAGCAGTCGAGAACCCAGCCGTAAGGAGCAGGTTCTATTTCTGCATCAAGATGTTTCTGTGGCTGTCTCTGATTTTGTTGGGTTTTGAGGTGGCTGCTTATTTTAAAGGTTGGCACTTTGGTTCACCACATCTTCAGCTTGAGTACTTGTGGGCTTCACCAATGGGGGTGAAGGGAGTGTTTGATTGGGTCTATTCGAAGTGGGTTTTGATTCGTGTGGAGTATCTTGCTCCTCCACTTCAGTTCTTAACCAGTGCCTGCATTGTGCTTTTCATGATTCAGAGCTTGGATAGACTAATACTCTGTTTGGGGTGTTTCTGGATCCGGTTCAAGAAGATCAAACCAGTCCCAAAAGAAGGTGCTTTTGATCCTGAATCTGGGGAGACTGGTTATTTCCCTATGGTTCTTGTTCAGATCCCCATGTGCAATGAAAAGGAGGTAAATTTCAAGCTCACTTATAGCTCTTATGGTTTGTGTTAGTTACGCTTACTTTGCTGGTAGAGATATCTTTTGTTTTTGTTCTTTTGCTTTTGCTTTTGGCTGACTGTAGAGTTTGAAAATCAGGTTTATCAGCAATCAATTGCTGCTGTGTGCAATTTGGACTGGCCGAAATCGAAGCTGTTGATTCAAATTCTTGACGATTCTGACGACCCAACAACCCAATTTCTGATCAAAGAGGATGTCCATAAGTGGCAGCAAGAAGGAGCCAACATTTTGTATCGGCATCGAGTGATCAGAGATGGATACAAGGCTGGTAATCTCAAGTCTGCAATGAATTGTAGTTATGTCAAAGACTATGAATTTGTGGCCATTTTCGATGCCGATTTTCAGCCCACCCCTGACTTCCTTAAGAGAACAGTCCCTCACTTCAAGGTATGTAATTGTTAATTGTGTTGTTATGGTTTGTTGTCTTTGTTGGGTTGTAATAATCTCTGTGATCGAACTACATTATCATGTAGAATCCATGCTTTTAATGAGAAGATGCTGTTAATTATTATTGTTAAGCGAACCACGATTACTAGAATCAGTTGAATTAAAATTTTACCCTTTGTTGGCATTTCAGGATAATGATGACCTAGGGCTGGTTCAGGCGAGGTGGTCCTTTGTGAACAAAGATGAGAACTTACTTACAAGGCTGCAGAACATTAATTTGTCATTCCACTTTGAGGTAGAGCAGCAAGTGAATAGCGTGTTCATTAATTTCTTTGGGTTCAATGGGACAGCTGGTGTGTGGAGGATACAGGCTTTGGAGGAAGCTGGTGGGTGGTTGGAGAGGACCACTGTGGAGGACATGGACATTGCTGTCCGTGCCCATCTTCATGGATGGAAATTCATTTTCCTCAATGATGTTGAGGTACAATTTTGTCCCAAATTATGTCTGTTAAAAGTGAGTTTACTCTGTTTCAGTAGTGGACTAATGGTTAGTGCTATCTCTGTGCTCAGTGCCAGTGTGAACTACCAGAATCTTATGAAGCTTATCGGAAACAACAGCACAGATGGCACTCGGGGCCTATGCAGTTGTTTCGCCTTTGTTTGCCTGATATCGTAAAATCCAAGGTATATATACTTTTTGCACTACTTGTTCCTTGTCCAATTAGGCCTAATTTGCTGTTTGTTCAGAAAGGTATTGTGGATTATAGCTCACTAATACGTTTCGTATACTTTGCTTGTCACAGATCAGCATTGGCAAGAAATTCAATCTGATCTTTCTCTTCTTTCTGCTCCGGAAACTGATATTGCCCTTCTATTCTTTTACCCTTTTTTGCATAATTCTCCCCATGACAATGTTCATCCCAGAGGCTGAGCTACCAGCATGGGTTGTATGTTACATCCCAGCTACCATGTCATTTCTCAACATCCTTCCTGCCCCAAAAGCCTTTCCTTTCATTGTTCCTTACCTTCTCTTTGAGAACACCATGTCTGTGACCAAGTTTAATGCTATGATATCCGGCCTGTTCCAGCTTGGTAGTGCATACGAGTGGGTTGTGACTAAGAAATCCGGTCGTTCCTCAGAAGGTGATCTTGCCTCCTTAGTTGAGAAAGAGCCAAAGCATCAAAGGGGGGTGTCAGTGCCGGATCTTGTCGAAATGAAGGAAGAAATTAGACAGCAGGAGCAAAGGGCTTCCAGGAAGAAGAAGCATAACAGAATATATACAAAGGAGCTGGCATTGGCTTTTCTTCTTCTAACGGCTTCAGCAAGGAGCCTTCTGTCTGCTCAGGGCATCCACTTCTACTTCTTGTTGTTTCAGGGGATATCGTTCCTGCTGGTTGGTTTAGACCTAATTGGTGAGCAGGTGGAGTGAAGAGAAAGTAATAAACTTTGTAGGGATATATGGATGATCTAAAGTAGACACAGACAACATGGGTGGTAAAACCTATCGAAGTAGAACCCAGAAAGAAGAGTCTGGAAGAGAAGGTTGTAGAGGGCTGAGACTGAGAGTACTCTCCTTCTTGCTTGTCCTCCACCCTCCAGACTTCCCCATCACATACCACCTTGAAGGAGAATAGTTTGTGCTATATGGAGAAAGGATGTCATCTTGGTCAGACGCAGATGGTACTCAGAAACACAGATGCCGTTATTAAATGTTTTGGTTATTTTTTCTATTTATTTTGATTCTTTTGTTTGTAGTCAATTCTTTTGTAAGAAAATTTGTCCTTAAACATCAAACACAACTTCTTTACAGTTTCAAGGCCATCTTCTTGATGCTCTTCTTGATGCTTTCTTCTGTCACCTGATCAAGTATAGCCTAAATCCTATAGGTTTCTTCTCTCTTTTGTTGAATTTTTGTAATGTCAGAAATGGAAACAACTCCTCATAAGGTTGAGGTTCTTGGATGCTTAAAAGGTTGGAATGAGCTCTTCTATTACATGTTCAGCTCATCCAGCAGTGGGTTCTTTTGGCACAACACCAACCAGATAACAAGTTTTAAATAATATATATAATCAGTAAAAGTCTGATATGCCTTGCCCACATGAAAGATTTTCAGATGTCAAAACTCAAAAGTACTCAAAACAATTAGGTAACTGTGATATCCTACTTCAATTCTTTCACCTGTCAAAACAATCACGACAACAACTCATACTTACATGATTTATGTTATGATAAGTGTATTCCAACAATTTTTCTTTTGGTTTTGAAGATTTGAGACAGACTTCATATACACAACTTCAAGACGATAGGATCTTCTCTTAATTCCCAATTCATGATAAGTAGAGAAATGACTGAAACGCGGTTAAAGGATCAAAACCAACCAAGAGAGATGGGCAAGTGAGCTGTCTGTTTCTTCAAGGTGTGAAGAATTTTTTTCTCAGGTAAAAAGCTAGAAGCTAGAAACGTGATGGGCTGCTGCAATAATAATGAACCTTAGACTCGGACGATATAAGATGATGACCAGACCTGACGTGTTAATTGGTGTTGTGCTGGTTCTTACCATGAAACTGCATCATCTACATGCTGTATCGCATCGCAATCCCACAACCCACAAAAGAGAGAGAGAGAGAGCACAGATAGAGTTGCTTGCTTGCTGCTTCGTCAACTGGTTTTGATATCATCTTATTGCAGAAGAAGCATCAATCTCTTTACTTGTATGGAAAAGAAACTGACTTGTTTTTGTTCTTCTTGTTTGTGTGAATATTTAGTTTGCATGTAAAACTGGGAAAAAGGAAGTTTCACTTGAAACAGGACTTGAAGCTACCAAGATTGCTTTGCTTTAATCTGATAATTCACAAATATCTAGCAAAATAGATAAAGTTTTTTCTTTTTGATGCGAAAAAGTTAAAGTTTTGGACCCAATGAAATTGAAACTACTGTTGTCTTGTTTTGTTTTTGGTCTCAATTCGCTGGTGGGGTACCTTTTGTCTTTTCACTCTTCAAAAGGGCATTAAATCAACAGCTAAAACCGACTTGAAGAAACATAACTCATAATTTATTGCAATAAAATGGAGATTTTTCTGAGGAAGTTGCATGAATATCAAAACAATCTGTCACTCCGCATCTATTTTCTTATCACGATGCACTCTACAAGAAAATAAAAACATTTCTTTCACAGTTTCTTCCCCAAAAACCCTCAGAAAACTTCAAGCATAGTCCTATTCTACAAACACCAATAACAAAGTTACAAACAATCATCTTCACCAATCAAAGTCTTGCCTTCCTTGTCTGATTATACACAATTTTTTGTTTTTTTGTAATACAACAAAGTCATCTTCTTCTGCTAAAAATTCGAAGAACAAACAATTAGGAACTTAGAGCCTATACAACTGAAAAACCTTCTTCTTTTGTTTCCTTTTTTTTTCTTCCAGTTTTTTCTTCTTCTCTAACTGAGTCAAATACAGTTAACTGAAAATTTGAATTATCCGTTGCGAGGGAGTAGACCTTAATATCTGTTCCAAACTTATAGCTCTGATTTCAAGCGGCCTGCTGAAAATGATAGCATGTTAATGTTAGAAGAATGTGAGACATAAATTTCCAGTGATTGCATGCACGAAGTTGTGTTACTTACCATTTTGTCCCAAATTGTCAATAGCTGAACTAGAATCAAAACCCATATGGAAAAGACCTTGGAGCTCACTGTCTAACACAGTCTGAAAAACCGCACATATTATTAAATCAGCAGATGTTTGGGACAATCGAAAGGATGATATTGGCATGACTTGAAGATTCTCAAATTACCTGAGGCAAGGAAGGAAATTGTGGAGCTTGTGGAGCTGAACTTGGCATACTTGGCAAGTTTCCTGGGAACATACCATGAGGGTATGGGTGAGAAGAGCTGATTCCAGGACTAAACCCGAAGATAGCTCCACTGCCACTTCGTGAGTTAAGAATCTACAAACAAAGGCAAACCAAGCTCAAGTTTAACACATTTACCCAATAGTATTGAAGCAAATGACAAAATTATCGACTAGTAACTAGGGTGAACTCACATCTTTGGATAGAATCCGTTCTATATCGATGTTGAGTTCTGGATTGACTGTCGCGAGTTTCATTGATAAAAACTGGAACAGGAAAGAAAGACAACCTTCACTGAATCATAGAACATTTAGGAGCTACAAACCACGCTATTAATACTTTACAATTATGCACATGGTTCTCTAACTTCAGCTGCTGTAGTTCTGTTCAACTAGCAGAAGTTGCAGTGCGCCTATATATGTATGACTACGCAGATATATTTTAATTTACAAAACATGGAGCTAATTCCTCATTTTAGATTGCAGAATATCTTACCTCAACTTGCTGTTGCAGAGATTGCACATAGTTGATGATCTCATCAAGCATTACAGCCTTCCCAGTAATCTTGAAAATTGATTGGTTATCTAATTGATCAGTATTTTATATAACATAAAGAGATCATTCAGAACATTGACCAACTCTGAAATTCTGAATACCTTATTGCATCCTGGAACAAGTTCTTGAAGCAATCTCATCCGCTCACTAATCTTTTCTCTTCTAACCTGCAAGCAGAAACTTTTATTGCATCAATAAACTAAAGAAAAGGAGATTTTCTTGAAATTTGATACACAGATATATAGTAATGAGAACATACCCTTTCGGCGAGGCTATGACTATTTGTAGCCTGACCCCTTCTGGCTCTAACATGAATGTAACTGTCCTTTGGATCTCCGCTCTGAGAACTTTCTTTAGCCTGTTTGCCCATCTGCTTACCGCGCAAATTTGCAGCTGTGTTGTCTTCACCTATTGCTTTTTTCTCATCTTGTTCTTTCAGATAATCAGAGCTCTCCCCAGACAGATCCTTGTTAATTTCCCCTTCAGCATTCTAGTACATATAACAAAGCAATTATGATCACTAGGGCACTGTATTGAAGGGAAACAGAATCATCAATATCCCAATTGATACAAATTGAACATAGCTCAATTTACCTTATTTGGACTGAATGCAGAATTGGATTCAGGAACTCGTTTCCTTCTCTTTCCATTGGGTGAAGATCCTAAAGCACCCTCTTCCGAAATTTGGTGATCATCATGAGATTGGGCGCCAATTGTTGAAGTCCTCTCAGTACCCCCCTCCCTGTTTGGGTTATAGTTTGCAACACACCCAGGGTTTGTAATCTGAGCACACTCAGATAGGCCAAAAGAACCAACCATTTCTGAGAAACTCCCACTTCCAAAACATGGAAGCTTTGGCACCATTTCGACATAGCTTGAATCAGATGGGTATTGAACAAGGTGAGAGGTGCTACTCATTCCCGGATTTTCCAATGCCACGGGGTAAGGAGGATTGGAAAATTCTCTGTGAGAAACGACTGAAGAACCTCCAAAATTATCACTCTGACTCAATGAAACAATTGGATCCCAACCAGAACCAAAAAAAGGGTCAGCTCCATTTGAAGGCTTAAACATGGATACTGAGCTCATTGTCATTTGCGAAACCTTTTCAGGCAGTGGATTTGTGCTCATCCCTGAAGATGGGCAATTCAGACTTCCCTCATTTCTATGTTGAAACCCCCCATCCTCACTGTCATGACCACCCATTTCTGAATTCAGAAGCTTATGGCGTCCCCCTATATATTATTCAAATGACAACACCCCACTTAACAGTTGGCGAAGACCAGGACTATGAATAGATAATGAAACACAAGAAATCTATGAAACTAAAGGCAAAGTGGGTGGCTTTGACCAAAATTGACTGGTGATATCTTGCAGACTCGACAAGGAACAAGTAACCTTTGCAGCTTTATAGACCTGAGAGGGTGCTAAAGTAACAACAGATGCCTCTCGTTGCAGAATCCCATGGACACAAAGTGAAAGGATAAATCCAGTGCATCAGGCATAAAATCTTATATGGTACCAGCTACTCTCCTCTTCCTTTCAAAAACCCTAGGATCAAGCTTACTCTAGTGCAGAGAAGGAAAAAATATAAAATAGAAGAAAATGCTCCCCACAGACAAGAAAAGTGAACCTTTCAGAGCATAAAGTAGACATAGACAAACAATGACATTAGCTAAGTAACAGCTCACCAGAGTAACAAAAAGAAAGCAGATTCCCTTTTTCTCTTTTGTATAGGGGCGAACTAAAATTTCATACCCTCAACTCAATCAAACATCAATCTGATTGATGGAAAGCGGTTCTGAATCTCTTCAACTATGACCAAAATTGGGGAGAATCACTCCAAGCTTCAAGCAATGAATGATTATAATAAAAAATATGGTTGCCAGTTACTAATAATAAGGAAATAACAACCAGCTGAAGTTTTGAATAAAAAAGACCCAGAACCAAGAAAAAGGAAAGTTACAGAACCCCTTTTGAGATATTCTTAGATGGGTACCCAAGAAAGACCAAAAGGCATCAAATTCTACTTGAATTGTGCAAGAGCTGAAATGGACAGGGTTTTAGCAGTCCCCCTAATTGGGTTTTTGATTGTACCTCCAAAAGCATCAAATGCTTGGTTAAATTCGACGAGAAAAACCCAATTCACCAATTGGGTACTTTCAAAAACAGCAAAGGAAGCATCAAGTTCCAACCTTTATAGATCAAAAACAATGCAGAGAGCTATGGAGCTAGAAAGAGACATAGAAAGAGTGAGACTTCGCTTACCTGCTCAAGTTAACAGGTGACATGTATGATTTTAAAAGACCAGACTAACTACTGCCAACTGCTCTTGTTGGAAAATTATTACAGAACCTAATCTCTTTCC